ATGGACTAGAAAAGCGCTATCCAAATGCAGGCCATTTACCATATATATCATGTTTAGGTGGAAACTAGCGAGCTAACTTCTAACTCCAATAAATTTAATAAATTCTGTTTTCATGGATGCCTGGATGTTAAACTTAATTGCTACACCTCGTAAAGCAGCAACGCTGATCATTTTATTAAAGATGAAAGAATTTAGACAGTTTTTAAGTCTCAGTGATGCTGCAGTGTTCGTTTGACTTTGGGACCTGAAGTGGACAGAGTTTTGGACCCAGATTACTCCACAAGGCTCCTGACTACGGCAGCCGTAATGCTCCAACAATCCATGAAGCGGTGCAGCTTTGTAGCTTACCTTTGAGCGCCGTGTACCACATAAAATCGGTTCAAGGTCAGTAAGCACAACCAGAATTCATACATAAGGTGCACCAGATTATAAGGCACACTGTCAATTTTTGAGAAAATAAAGGACTTTAAGTACGCGTTATAGTGCGGAAAATATGGTATACAGAAGAAAATAATATATCGCGATATATACTGTTACCGCACATGCTTCAAATTATTGGATTTTTGGCCATATCGCCCATTTCATAGTATTGTCACAGTTTCCAGCTTTAGGACATATTTACTGTCAACTATTAGCATCAATCAGCTGTTAGCATCAGCTGTTAGCCACTGGGCTGTTTTCAGATCCTGCTCTTCTGGGCTTTTCTTGCTGGGTTTGTTCTGCAGTCCATACTCCAGCCTGTCTTCTACACTCTGTGGTACATGGCATTAGAATTACTCTATCTACACTTCACCTCTCGGCCCTTCTGCCAGCTTTACTGCTGCACCTGGACATCGCCTGGCGCCCACGTCGAAAGTATGTCCACCGCTGATCCAGACGGAATTACATAATCGACAGTAGGAACCCGATACATACCCTGTGGTCAACTCACCGCTGCTCTCCTAGGAAGCCTGGTGGACAGACTGCTGACTGTAGTGTGCTTGCTAGCTTTGTCAGGTCGGATTGCAAAGCTAGTAGCGACTATCCCATCTCCGCTGACTTGTTAAATGTCCGATTGCTCTCCAGCATTTGACCTCTTCTCTATGATCTTCTCAATGACTTCTATGTCTCACAGAGACCTGGCAGTGTACAAATTCACCATCATAATGCAGCTACCCCTTCGGCGCCAGCTGTAGGCTCAAGGCTGGAGCTGAACAACAACACCCTGATAACGACTGTGTTGAGTCTGTTCCTTTCCATTCCATGGAAGGCCACCTGGGTTGGCTGGCAGACTGTTTACTTAGCCTGATAGGGTGAAGGACACTGTCTCAGCTGAACTATGGACACGCAGACACAAACATACACTGATATGCACACACTCATCCCCCCCCCTTTCCAAACACCTTCGATGCTTGTTTCCTCTTAGGGAACACGGCGGGTCTGAGCCCGCGCTGGAATGGTAGCACTGGGCAGGATGGCTGCTGTGTTGGTTCGAACTATTCCTCACCCTTCACCCGACCCTGTGGCTTGTCATGTGTTCCATAATGTGGACATTTATGTGCTTCTTTTTATGCAGAGGAGTTTTTTTGTTTCCTGCTCTCATGCTGTCCTCCCAGGAGCCCAGCATGAGTAGAGGTCTCTTTCTTTCCTCTTGTACTTTCCCATCGTAGTGTATATTTCAGTGTTTTTTTCTGTAACGCTACCGATCTCCGACCTGTAACCCCATGTAATGTCTGTGTTGTGTATGTATGGTCGGGGGGGGGGGTCCCATTTCACTGCAGTTCACTGCCTGCATGTGGCGAATAAAGCCTTGATTGATTGATTGATTGATTGTTTGATTATTTTGCCAAACTCAATCTGACCACTCAGCCTGGATTTGTTTACACCTGTCAGCCCCGTGTGTCAGGACGTGGGGGTGGCCTTGCGATCCTGTACAACAGCAAGTATAAGGTATCCTCTCTTTCTGCTCCTGCCCACTCCTTGTTTGAATCCACGATGATGCAAATTAATGGACCAACTCCCACATTTTTAGTTGCTTTTACTGTCCACCTAAACCCAACTCTGACTTTTAACAGATTTTTCTAACTTTCTCTCTAAACAATCAAACCTTTGTCACATGCAATGTTTACACCTGCAATGAAATTGGACCCCCCCAAAAATATGTCAAACTACGTCATAAAGGCTTTTACAAGTGCAATAAAAATAACTTAAAAACCTATGGAATTAAATAATGGTACAGAAATAATGCCTCATCTGCATAAGAAAAATTACCAGTACTTGGTCATATGAGGGCTGGACTGGGACAAAAAAAATCGGCCCGGGCATTTTTTTATTACTCATGAAATTTTGAACATGTTAGCTCTTTATACAGTAAAGTTACAGTGGGATACAAACAATATCAGCGTCACGGTTCTGGGTCATTTTGACTCAGCTTTTTCTGTTTCTGTTTTGGTGTTTTTCTAAACTATGATTTGTTTGGGTTTTTGAGATGTGCTGGTTTGATCTGGTATTTAGGGTTATTCTTGGTTTTGTTCTCTTTACATTGTTTGGTGTTCTGGCCTTTAGTTTAAGTCACTGTCTTCACTGTTTCATGGGTTATATTCTTTCTGTCTATCCCTCAGTGTCAAGTTTGCGTTTTTGTGATTTGTTTCTTATTTCCTCTTTTATTTTGATAGTCCCAGTCCTATGTCAGTGTATTCCGTTTTACCTGCCCCTGTCTCATTAGCCTAATCTCTCCCAGCTGTGTCTCCCTTCTGTTGCCCCTTCCCTGATTACTTCCCTGTGTTTTCCTGTGCTCTCTGTCGCGT